AGTGAATGAGCCTCAGTTGTTTACTGTGCTGAGGGCCCAGCCTTACCTAACTTTCTTACAGTAATTTCTAACCTACTTAGCTATCTGCAATAGTAGGTGGGGCTTTCTCAGAGATGGCTGAAGTTAGAGTGATTGATTCATGGTGCAATGAGTGCTACCCACTCCAAGTAGTATGAGTAAAATAAAAGGGGCAGACAGGTGCTGTTAAGGTCTCTTGTCGCTTTTGCTGTCTTCTGCTGCCACGAACTGTTGCCCCTCTGCCATCCACCCTGCCTTGGAGCCTACCGATTATGGACTGAAACCTCTACAAACTGTGAGCAAAATAAATCTTTCCTCTTTAACTCCGGTATGTTGTCTCAGCCAGGAGAAAAGTAGCTAGGACAGAATTGGGTACCAGAGGAGTGGGGTCGTTGCTGTGACATCACCATGTGTCTCAAATGCCTTTGGAACTGGCTTGTGGGAAGGGACACTTAGCAAAGTTTCTGCGTTGCCTGCTGAAGTAACCCTGTCTTCTCAGGGAGCCAAACCCTGGGGACCCGCAAGGCCCGTGCAGCGGCTGTGACTGAGGTCTGGAACCTGGCCCCTGCCTGTGATGACATAGGTAGCATTTAGGCAGATAAATACAAGGATCGCCCTCTACCTAAGTTAAATGCACCAAAGTCCAAGGCCAGAGTCTCACGGGGGCTCGGGGTTGGAGACTTCAGAGACAAGCTGAACCGTGGTAGCAGGGTCAGAAGCTGAAAGAGTGACTCGGGAGAGCCGGTGAGGCCCTGTCCACCCAGAAAGCATCTGTACAGGAACGTGAGGGAAGCGGCCCTACCTAATCGCAGCCTGGAGCTCTAGAGGTCTCCAGGTTACAAACACGAATTTTTATGCTGATTATTACTTATTTACTTACTTAGTTTTGTACTGGGGATTGAACTCGGTACCTTGCACTTGCAAGGTAGGTAGCGGTGCTGCTGTGCTAAATCCCCGGCCCTGATGATTATTATTTTGCCAGTACTGGGTATTGAACCTAGGACCTTCTCCCTAAGCTACACCCTTAGGCCTTTTTCATTTTTTAAATTTTGAGACATTTTCTTGCTGAGTCACTAAATTGCCCAGGCTGGGCTTGAATTTGCTGTTCTCCTGCCCTAGCCTCCCAGAGTGCTGAGATTCCTGGTGTTCAGCACCAAGGCTGGCTACAAACACCAATGTGTAAACATCCCAAGTGAATGAACGCATTTAAGGGGCAGGCCGTTTTTTTCCTTCTCCAACCATGCTGAAAACATCCAGGCAGTTATGGAGCACTTGCGCTGCCTGGTGGCCAGCATGGGGAGTTGCCTGGCGCTGCAGGCTCTCTGGTGGTGGGGGTGGGGGTTCTTTCCCTATTTTACTTAGGTACAGCATTCCTGAAAATTGAAAAATGAAAAATTGGGTTTACATACTTACTATGTATGAATTAATTTTTTTTGGAACTGGATATCCAATGCATCACCTTCACACTGAGCTCTATCACCAACCCATGTTTTAATTTTTAATTTTGAGGCACAGTCTCACTAAATCCAGGCTGGGCTGGAACTTGTTTCCCCCAAGCAGAGTCTTAGTGTGGTTGTTGACATCTGATCTAGTTGGGGACACTGTTTTTTAATTTAAAATTTTTATTTTTTTTTTTTGAGACAGAGACTTGTGAAGCCACTCGATTGGCTTTAGACTTGAGATCCTCCAGCTGGGCATGTTGGCACTCGCCTATAATCCCAGCACTGGGGAGGCTGAGGCAGGAGGATCACTGTGAGTTTGAGACCAGCCTGAGCTACATAGTGAGTTCCAGGTCAGTCTCAACTACAGAGTGAGACCCTGTCTCAAACAAACAAACAAACAAACACAAAAAAAGATTTGAGATCCTCCTGCTTCAGCCTCTCAAGTAGCTGGAATTACAGGTATGTGCCACCATTCTCTGTGGGATACTGCTATTTGATGGTTAGTAGTGGACATCATGGACAATATTTCTATGTTCTTGTTACACCAGAAAGACATTATTTAGCAAACGTGAAAAAATATCCAAGCTATAAGTGTTTGTTGGTTAAATTTATTTCTGTGGTTTTGGGGACTGAACCTAGTGTCTTTGTACTGAGTTACATCCCCAGCCACTTTGTATTTATTTTGAGACGGGGTCTCTCTGAGTTGCACAGGCTGGCCTTGACGTTGTGATCCTCTTGCCTCAGCCTCCCAGAGTGCTGGGTTTCTGGGCCTGTGCCACCAAGCCTGGCTCATAAATGTTGATTTAATCCAGAGAGCTGATTACACCTGCGGGCGTTACACCCTTCCTCCCTCCAGTTTTTTGTTTTCTTTTGATTTTTGGCATAGGCTCTCACCGTGTAACGCAGGCTGGCCTCGAACTCACAGCAGTCCTCTTGCTTCAGCCTCCCGGAGGGCTAGGATTGCAGGCCTGCACCTCACACTCTGCTCATACATGTTAATTCATCCACACAGCTGCCGGCGGCTCAGAGAACGGGCTTTGGTGGCATCAGCCTTTGGGGCTGGCAGGCGGCAGTGCCCAGGTGGCCCGAGGCAGCCCAGGCCAGGGCTGGCACTCACGTGCGGCTCACACGTCTGCCCTTCCTTTTCCCATGTTCTGGCCTCACCGACTGGACAGGGCCCACCCATGGCACAAGAGGACTCTACTTGACTCCATCTGTGGGATCAAAATGTCGGTCTCGTCCAGAGCCACCCAGAACCGCGTCTGACCACAGCTCTGGGCCCCCAGTGTGAGGTGGAGTGGGCGCACAAAATTAACCTCGGACTAATTTAAAGATGAGGGGCAGGAGCGTGGGCTCCCCGCTTCGCTGTGGCACTCGGGGAGCAGGTGTAGGGCTCTCCGCCTGCTGTTCTCTTCCTCGCCCAGGTCGCCAGCTGTGAGTTCGGCAGTCTGGGCCCCGGAGACCCTGGGAAGCGACGTGAGCGGTCACAGCCTGGGACATGACAGAAGGATGCACCACGCAGGCCTGGACGGGACTCAGTTCCTCATGCTCAGTTCATGCTGGGAACAGCCAGGAGCAGCAGCCCCACCCGTAATCCCAGCTCTGGGGGCTGAGGCAGGTGGATCTCGAGTTCAAGCCCAGCCTAGATACTTGATGACTGTGTGAGACCCTGTCTTAAAATTTTAAAAAAAGCCTCCTGCCCTGGCCCACTCTCCTCAGCCTCCTCTTGTCATGGGGATGCAGCTGTGACCTCAAGGACCAGCTGAAGGGACCGCCCTTCCATGCCCCTGCAGCCTGTACCCTGTGAGGTCAGAGACAACGCCATTTGGGTGTGAAAGGCGACTCAGTCTGAGGGACACTTCATCAAGAAGCTGACAAGTGCAAGAGAAGATGCCGCATTGTCTGCAGAGGGAGCCGGGGTCTCCCCAAGTCTGCCAGCTTGCCGTGCTGGCTCTTCAGGCCAAGCGGCTGTGACGCTGTAGAAGGGGCACTCTACCCTGCCCCATCCTGTAGGCACAGCCACAGATCCTTCTGAGCAGGGGCCATCCCTGTCCCCGTCCCCTCTTGAGACAGGGTTATTGCGGTGTAGTTCGGGTTGGCCTTGAACTATGTCGCCTGTGATCCTCCTGCCTCAGCCTACTGTGTGCAGGCCCGTGCCATCACGCCCAGTGCTGCACGCACCCTTAGTCAGTCCATGGATGGTGTTTGCTGCTGTGGCCTCGCTACACAGCCGTCCTCAGCCCAGGGGTCCTGCCCGGCCAGGCCCTTTGTCCTGCCTCCTTCACAGGTGTTTTCTGTCGATAGAGTGTGAATGCTTCCTGCTTTGGCCATTTCTCTGGTCCTCACTCTCTCCCGAGGTCTCTGTACAGAGAAACTTATTGACCGTGGTGTGCTTTTTCTTTAATTTACTTGGTGTCAGTCTTATTCCTACACACAGGTAAAGTGTGGCAGCGCATTCCTGTAATCCTGCAGTCTAGGAGGCTGAGGCAGAAGGGTTGCATCTTTGAGCCACCCTGGGCAGTTTAGCAAGACCTTGCCTCAAAAACATTTAAAAAGAAAGAAAAAGGAAACAAACAAACAAACAAAAGAACTAAGATGGTAGACATGACCTTGAGCCTCACAGGCATTCCCAACATTCATCACTGGGGAAATGGAATTAAACCCTCACCCCACATACGTCCTGCTTCACACCAAAGAGGACTGAAAAGAGCTGTGAGGAAGAGGAGCGGCCAGAGCTCCTGCAGACAGACGCCTGAGGGGTGCAAATGCATCCAGCACTGGCAAAAATCTGCCGTTGGTGCCACAGCTGCTGAAGGAGTGGCCGGCTGCCCTCGGACTCGGTCAGACGGGGACACTCACTGCCACCTGGGACTGGCAGGACAGTCCAGGGACAGAGGCGGGAAGGCACAGCCCCGCGTCTGCCACCAGGAAAGGGATGGAGAAGTTAAACATGAAAGGGGAGAACTGGGGACCTCGCCAGGGCTGTGAGGGGCCCGGTGCTGCAAAGAAAACTCCAAATGTTTTGGTTGCAGGAAGCAGCACGATGAGTCTCAGGATAATCTTGTTAAGTGAATGAAATGGGACTGAAAAGAATACCAACTGGGTGACCATGTTTATATAAAAACCCGGAAAGTGGAAAGGTCTCTGGAGGGACAGATGGCGCTGCAGGGATGGTGCAGGGCGGGGCTGTAAGGAGGAACGGGGGTGGGGTGGGGGGGACGGGACAGCGCCCTCTGGTGGCCAGGCCTGGGCTCTGGGTGTGGATCTGTAACCCATGTGGGGGGGTTCCATCCCACCCTACCCCATTCCTTCCTTTCTCTCTTTTTCCTTCCCTCCCTTCCTTTTCTTCCCTTCACTTTATGTTTTGAGACAGGTCTGCAGTACAAAGTACAGCCTGGCCTTAAACTCGTTTGGTAGCTCAGGCCACAGCCCAGACCGCGATCCTCCTGCCTCAGCCGCCCAAGGGCTGAAGTTATGCACCTTAAATATGAGCTTTATTTGACGTCAGTTAGTGAAGCTCTTAATAATACCAATTAGAAATGGACACACAGGTAACGTTCGTGGCTTTACTCATTTATTTGCTTTCTCTTTCATTTAAAGAAATGTATCGCTTATCAGAGGAATGAGTGGTCTGACATTAGGACTCACAGGAAGCCGGGGGACCCTCAGGACCTGGGCATGCGGTGAGGCGGCTCAGGTCGGGGCTGTGTGACAGCAGCTGTGTCGCTGCGGGTGAGCACTGCCCCCTCTGAGGTCACCGGGAGGAGACCGGACCAGAGGGCGGACAGGAGTGCGCAGAGAATGGAAATGACAGGAGGGCAGAGAGGACAGCAGAGTGAGGGCAGCTTGGGCAGTAGCACACGGCGATCACCAGGGTTTTCCACAGGACACACTTTTTCTCGTGGGGATGGAATCCTTGGCCTTGGCTGTTTGCTCCTTTGTGTCTTTGGTACCCCGGATGGAACTTGGGTCCCTGCGCTTGCGAGGCAGGGGGCGGCAGCACTGAGCTAAATCCCCGCCCTGCCTCGGCTGTTTGGCCAGCTCCGCCCGCAAGCTGCAGCCCCAGCCTGGCCGTCTTGTAGACAGGTCCTCTGCCTCTGCTCCCGGCTTCCTGGGTGCAGCCCTGGTGTGTCTGAGCTCTTCACAGGAGAAACAGCTTTGGCAAACTGGTCCGGAACAAGTGTGGGGTTTACTGCTGGTGAGAGAGAGCATCGAGGGCGGAGACGGCAGCTTCCCAGCCTAGCTACTGCAGAGACAAGACTGCTCCTGCGTTCACGGACGCAGGTCACGGGGCCATCACGACAGTGATCACGGAGGACGCTGAGGGCAGGACGCTGGAGGGACGAACAGCCACTGTCTGGGACCAGCACAGGGCCTGCCCTGCCCAGGCGGTGACCAGGTGTCTTTCCCACCTGAAGAGACGGGTGAAGCGGAGACCCAAGCCACAAGCTCAGTTCTGCCGGCACCAGCAGGGCGTCTCTCCGACTGCGGACTCAGATGAGGACCCAGGCGTCAGCCGGTGCTTTGAGTGGGGCAGTGCTGCCCTCTCCCGCGTCAGGTCACCACGAGAGCAGCCGCCGGGCAGAGGCCGCCCAGGGTCACAGTGTTGCCCGCAGCTCCTGTCCGCAGGACGCCGAAGGAGCCGGGTCCGCTTTCCAGTACACGGCGCACTGCCCTGGGAGTCCGAGCGCCTCAGACGGTGCTCCCAACCCGTCCCTGCTTACAGGACCCCGCCAGAGCGAGCGTCTTACACTGCTGATGCTGATATAGGGGGAAGAGATGACTCCCAAACCTGGGGAGATCCGAAACGCGAGTTCGTGTTCTCCAAAAGCGAAGAATGAATTCTAGGAGCAACGGAGATGAAGAGTAGGAAAAGTTTATTGGGAAAGAAAGCTTCTGAGAGAGACAGGGGGCATTGGAAAGTGGGTTGCCCGCTCGCCCTAATTTTCAGATATCTTATACAGTAAAGCCATGTGGTACAAAGCGGGACAGAACTGAAAGACCCAATGGAGAATTACAAGGCGGGCATGAGGTGGGGCAGAACCATGACCAACCAAGATGACAAGTACAGTCACCCGGGTAATATTAAGTGGGGGTCCATGGGAGAGCGAGTCACTTAGTAAGAATACAAGGATTTTCAGTAAGTGTGGGGTCAGGAATATTTCCTGGAAAGGCTGGGCTAAGCACTTGACCCCCACCCAGGTGATTGTTACCTATTTAGAATATCAATCACTGCTGTTTATCCCCAGGGGAAGCACAAGGGTATAGAAGTTTCTCTCCTTTTACAGTTCTGGCCATAGGGAATGTGTCTTGATTGTCCTCCCTGTTGGCTCCCTGCTGTGTTGACTCCTTGGGGGCGGCCCTGTCTGACTCCCTACAAGGTATCGCATTAACTTACCTATCTGCAATACAACTACACTGAACTAACTCAGTGTTAAGACTGGCTAAGAATAAGCACGGCCTGTAGCCCCAGCTATGGGGGGGGGGCTGAGTTTGGGGTCAGCCCAAGCAATTTAGTGGGACCCTATCTCAAAATCACAGTAATGGAAAGGGGAGGGGATAAAAAAAGTGTGGTGTGGGTTAATCTGAAAATGGAGTTAATAACTCCAAAGTTTTATAGTCTATAACAAATTATTGTAAGCACCTATTTTTCACTAGTGCTGCCAAGAACATAACTCCCTGTTAATGCTGCCGAGGACATACCTTGATATCCACCTTCAAGACTGTCTGCCCAGGGCTTGAACCCACCCTGCAATGTAGTGTACCCTATCTGATGCATTCTGACACATCCCCAGTCTCAGGCCATCAGGTGCCTCTCGGAGGGTTGGTGCTGGTGGTGAGCACGTGCATCAGGGTCTCTAACTCTTCCTCTCTGTCCCCCAGTGCCACTGTGACCTGCTTTCTGCCTGGACAGAAAGATAATATGCCTGATGCTGGGCATGGTGGTGCATGCCTGTAATCCCAGCACTCGGGAGGCTGAGGCAGGAGGATCACTGTGAGTTTGAGACCAGCCTGGGCTACATAGTGAGTTCTAGGTCAGTCTCAACTACATAGTGAGACCCTGTCTTAAAAAAACAAAAAGATAATATGGCTGACACACAGGAGGGACACCAGTCCAGGATAAGGGTGGCAGTGAGCAGTTTCATTTTTCAGCCCAGCAAATTCCTCCTCGTCCAACCCTGCCCTGAACTGATGCCCAATCCAAGTACACGTCTCCCTTATCTGCTCCTCCTTGGCAGACCCTACCCTGAACTGATGTGTACTCCAAATATGTGTCTCCCTTATCTAGCCGACCTTACCCTAGAGTGTTTCTTACCCTGAGTTTGAACTTGCTGTAGACCGATCAGTAATAATATTATATGTAACAAATACGTAACCAGTCAACTGCTTGCTCTGCTTCTGTACAAGTTCCTGCTTGCAAACCCTATGTGAAGTGTAGATGGACCAAAGACGGCTGCCTGGTTCTTTGAGGGATTATCCCCACCAGGCCCGTCGATGTAGATAAAGTTTGCTTCCTGCTCCAAGTCCTGGGTGCCTGTCGGTACTTCCCCATTGCCATTACAGGGATGGCGCTCCCAGTTCAGACCCAGGCACAACACCTTTTCTAACACTATTCCTTTATTTCGATTATGCTTCTGCTTGTACTATTTTCCTCCTTTCTCAGAACAGCTGCTTTTAACATTTTTTTGTTGTTGTTTTTGTACCAGGGATAGAACTCAGGACCTTGTGCTTGCAAAGCAGGCAGCGGCACCACTGAGCTAACTCCCTGGCCAATATTTCTCAGCTTTTAATAACCCTCATCCCTCCATGACTGGCTGCTTAGAAACAGGGTCCCGCCTTTAGCACAGGATCTACACCACGAGGCAGGGCGTGGCAAGGCTGGCTTGGGCATGGAGCAGGACCTGTCAGTAATAGGATCCCAGGGAAGCAGCAACAAATAACTCGCAGGACCGCTGGTGGGACTTCTCTAGAGCTCCCATGAGAACGCATGACATAAAGAGAACAGACTGTTCTCACTTCTCATGGTAGCCCTCGCTATGTGTAACAGATGCAGCATGTACTCTTATTTTTGCTTTTATCTTTAAAAAAATTTTTATTGGTATATTTTAGGCATACAATACAGTTACATTCATCATTGGGATCTTGCACCTTTACATGACAGATCTTGGTTCTCATTTTTTCCCCAATCCCCTGCCCTCCCTTCACCCACTCCACCTTCCCTATTTACGAAGACTTTGTTTCCATTTTTTTCATTCTCTTATTTTTTCTATTCCCTGCTTTCCTTTCCCCTACCCCTCCCACTTCCTCTACACCTTTAGACCTTTTCTTCCTATTACACAATATCAATTATACTTTTGGTGGGAGGGTACTGGGGACTGAACTTGGGTCCTGTGCTTGTGAGGCAGGCGCTGGAACCGCTGAGCTAAATCCCAGGCCCTCAATTATACATTTTGATCCTTATTTACACTTTTAGTTTATCACAAGACAAACTATATGGTACTTACACATCTGCCCTATTAATTTCACTTGAGTATGTCCTCAGTGTGCATCCACTTAGTTATGTCTCTAGTTTCTCATTTTTTATGGCTGAGTAGTATTCCATTTTATTTTTTTTAAAAAACCCACATCTTTACCCAGTCTCCCACTGATGGGCAGGTGGGCTGCTTCCAAGTTTTAGCTATTACAAATTGTGTTGCTGTGAACATGGATGCACATTTATCACTGTGGTATGATTCTTTTAATTCTTCTGGGAAGATACCCAGCAAGGGAATAGCTAGGTCAAATGGGACCTCTAATCCTACTTGTTTAAGGTAACTCCATATTGATTTCCATAGTGGTTGTACCAGTCTGCACTCCCACCAACAATGGAAAAGGGTTCCTTTGTCCCCGCACCCCAGCCAGCATTTGTTATTGGTTGATTTCTTGGTAGCAACCTTTATTCCTGGGGTAAGGTAGATCAATGTTGTTTTCATGTGTATCTCTCAAACGATCAGTGATGTTGTCATTTTTTCATATATTTATTTGCTGCTTTTCCTTCTTTGAGAAATGTCTGCTCATTTCAGATGCCCATTTTTGATCTTTATATTTGGGGGGGCTGGTTTTTTTTCTTTAGTTCTTTATATATTCTAGATAGTAGACCTTTGTCTGAGGAACAGGTGGTAAAATTTTTTCCCCACATTGTAGGGTGTCTCTTAGTTCTGTTGGTGGTGCAGAAGTCTTTTTTTTTTTTTTTTTTTTTTTTTGTGGTACCAGGGATTGAACTTGGGACCTTGCGCTTGCAAGGCAGGCAGTGGAACCACTGAGGGAAACCACCAGCCCTCAAAAATCTTTTACAAAGATGAGATCCCAGCTGTTGATTCTTTGTGCTAGTTCCCGTGCTGATTTGTTCATAAAGTCTTTTCCTATGCCAATGTCTTCAAGAGTTCTACCCAACTTATCTTCCAACAAGCTTAGTGTTTCTGTTTTAATATTTTAATCTTTGGCATGTTGAAAACCAGTTTTTCCAACACTATATATAAATTTTTTTTGTATGGGGGATTGAACTCAGGACCTTGTGCTTGCAAGGCTCCAACATCATTTATTAAAGAGGCTGTCTTTCTTCCAGTGAGGATGCTTAGCTCCTTTGTCAAAGATAAGGTAGCTGAATATGTCTGGAGTTGTTTCTGCATCTTCTAATCTATTTCACTGATCCTCACTCGGTCTCTTTGCAGTACCATGCTGTTTTTATCACAGTGGCTTTATAGTATAGTTTCAGGTTGGGGAATGTGATCCCCTCTGCCATGTCTCTGTTGCCTAGAATGGCTTTTGCTATTCTAGGTCTCTTATGGTTCCAAATGAATTTGGGGATTGTTTTTTCTAGTTCTGTGAAATATACTGTTGAGATTTCAGTAGGGATTCCAATGAATCTGTATAGCAGTTTTGGAAATATGGCCATTTTCACTATATTGATTCTTCCTACCCAGGAAAAAGATGTCTTTCCATTTTCTTATATCCTCTTCAAAGTCTTTTTTCAGTGTTCTAGTACTCAATATAGAGATCTCTTGCTTCCTTCGTTAGATTGATTCCTAGCTATTTCATTTGTGAAAGGGATTATTTCCCTAATTTCTCTCTTAATGAGCCTGTTATTTGTGTACAAGAAGGCTATTGATTTTTGAGTCTTTACCTTATATCCAGCTATTCTACTGAATCTGTCAATTAAATCTAGAAGTCTTTTGGTAGAGGTTTTTGAGTCTTCTATGTAGTGTTATATTGTCAGCAAATAATGACAGCTTAACTTCTTCCTTTCCTATCTTTATTGTGTTTATATTTCTTTCTCTTGTCTAATTACTGTGGCTGTTCCCAAAATTATATTGAGCAGCAGTGGTGATAGTGGACATCTTTGTCTTGTTCCTGATTTTAGTGATGTTGAACAATCCTTACATCCCTGGGATGAATCCGACTTGGTCAGGGTGTATGATCTTCTTAATGGCCTTCTGTATTCTGTTTGCCAGTATTTTATTGAGGATTTTTGCATCTGTGTTCATTAGGGAGATTGGTCTGTAGTTCTCTTTTTTGTTTGGGTCTTAACCTGGTTCGGGAATCAGAGTAACACTTGCTTCTAGGAATGAATTTGGAAGTATTGCTTCCCTTTCATTGAAAAGTTTAAAAAGTAGGGGCAATAGTTCTTCTCTAAGTGTTTTGTAGAATTCAGCAGTAAAGCCATAGGACCTGGGCTTTTTTTTGTTGTTGTTGGTAATTTTTAAATTACATTTTCAATAACATTTGTAATTGGGATGTTTAGCGTTTTTATATCTTCTTTGTTCAACTCTAGTAATTCATATGTGTATAGAAATCTGTCCATTTC